TATCAGGGGAACGGTACACATTTTTTTTAGTTTTTCTGTTCTGCATAATCAACTTGGTTTTGTTATAACTAGTTACTGTTTCAAATAAAGTTAATCTGAGTATTGCATTACCAAGGTGATTTGACAGAGAATAATTAACCCCAGGTTAAATGGTAACAGCCTTGAGACTGGGATATTTTAAAAAATTAACCAATGGACCACTCCATTTATTTATTTATTTAATATGTATGCTACACCTAGCTCCCAAGAATAACAAAGCCGTGGTGCTGTCTGCAAACTGGGGTCTCTGAACTGACTTCGAAGAGAGAGACCTATGTAAAGTGCATTACAGTAACCTAGTCTCAATGTTACTTGAGGGGGCAAGGTAAATATAATTGAATAAATGACAAACAGAAATATCCTCATGAGTATATCATGTAGACTAGACCTCTCTACCGGGCGGGTTATCATGCACGCATAATTGCAGAAGTCACTGTTGCAATTTTCTATTTCCCTGTAAGACAGACACTGTCTACACTAAAAGAAGGGGCCTGCCGGGTTCTTCTGTTGTCGGTCCAGAGTCTTTGGCCAAGCTGCTGAGACTAGGAGATGATATCACTGCTGAGGAAAATGAGTGGAAATGCCCTGTGATTCCTCAGAATACTCTAGGACAGTGTTTCCCAAGCTGTGGGTGAGGACCCAAAAATGGGTCACAGAGCCTCTGAAAGTGGATCATGGGCTACCCCTCCCTAATGGCTGCTACTGCCCTTTCTACTGTGCTGCTTTGTATTTTGGAAACCAAGATCTGTTCTGATCCTGGAAATAGTATCTTCCATCTCATACATTGGGAGGAAAGGCAGCATGGTATAGCTCAGTCTCATCAGATCTCGGAAACTAAGCAGGATCGGTACTTGGTAAGGAGACCACCACCGAAGACTCAGCAATGGAAGGCAATGGCAAACCACCTATGCTTCTCATGGGCCTGAAGCTCCTTTCTGAGATCACCGTAAGCTGTGACACTTTACACAGACATGTGTCATCATACGTTAGTTGGTGTTTTTTCTTCACTGCATATACAGGTTGCTCAAGTAAAACATGTCTTAGACTCGTAGGGGGGATTAGAAAGAGTAATGGAGAAAGAGAGGGTGGTCAAAGGCTGGAATGTAACCTCTGTATGCAAAGGCTGTGCATGTCAGAATGCCACTTGCTTGGGGTTCATAGCCGAGGCAGCTGCACTGCACCCTTTGTGCAATGTTGGTTGGCTTCTCAAAGACATCTGGTTAGCCACAGTAGAAAATGGAGTGCTGAACTAGTTGGGTGCCATGGTCACAGTTTGTCAAGGGTGCCAAAAGACCTTGGGCCAGCCTTGGATGGGTCACCATACCAAGTAAATTTGGACTTTTGGGTCACCATACCGAAAAGTTTGGGAACCGCTGCTCTAGGAAAGATGAACTGTAATGCTGAATTATTGTTTCTCAGCCCATCCTGGATTAAGTCGACAGCTTGATAAACTGTAATATTGCTGTAATGTTGCATTATTATTTTTTTAGCCCATCCTGGATTAAGTAGACAGTTTGAGCCTTCAGCAGTGGGTGGGGCCAGAGCAACCCCAGTAAGCGGGGAATCATCCTGGGTGCCCAGGTGGGTCAGTTCCTCCTCACCTGCTCAGTCTACAGCATGCCTAAGACAAAAGCCAGTCAAGAGGACAAATCTGCTGCACAGTGGAGGTGCTCAGCCAGCAGAGAGCAGGCTTGGTCTCAGAAGCTGCATTTAGAGTGATTTAGAAGCCAGGCTCTGGGGAAAAAAATAGCTATTCCTTCACTGGCTGCTCACTCAGCCCCATGCAGGGGGCCAGCAAGTAAGGCAGGATGCTGTCCTGCTGGCAGTGCTCCCTGGGTGAGAGATCTACTTGTTTTATCTGGCAACTTCCCCATTGACTTAGAAGTGAATGCCATTAAAATCAGTGAGGCCCAACTTCAGCATGAGGGTGGCACACAGAAAAGAACTGTGTGTGTTTTGTTTTATGCAAGATATATCAATTATGCCATTGAACTGATCTTAGGATGTTACCGCCCACCTCAAGGTCTGTGGAATTTAGGCTTGCCAACCTCCAGGTAGGGACTGGAGATCTCCCAGTATTACAAATTATCTCCAGACGACAGAGATGAATTATCCTAGAGGAAATGGCTGCTTTGGAGGCCAGATCATATGCCATTATACTTTGCTGAGCTCCCCCCAGGCTCATCCCACAAATCTCCAGTTAGGATGCTACCGCCCACCTCAAGGTCTGTGGGATTTAGGGTTGCCAGCCTACAGGCAGGGTCTGGAGATCTCCCAGTATTACAAATGATCTCCAGACAACAGAGATGAATTCTCCTAGAGGAAACGGCCGCTTTGGAGGGCAGATCATATGGCATTATACTTTGCTGAGCTCCCCCCCAGGCTCATCCCACAAATCTCCAGGAATTTCCCAACCCGGGATTGGCAACCCTAGGAATGGCAAGTCTGTAATGGTATTAGTCGCTCCACCATGACCTCCCCGCCACAATTGAGACAGTAGGTGAAGTTGAGGCCCCAAGCACGTCTTCTAGTCAGATTTTGGATCATTTCCACTCACCTCAGCCTAGAGGAAGTTGACAGAATACTCTCAGCTGTTCGCCCAACCAGTTGCAGCCTTGATCCGTGCCCATCTTGGCTTATTGAAGCTGGCTGTAATGGGTTGTGAGATCCCCTAA